GGAGGGAGGGAGGGTGGGGCACGTAAACGAGAATGAACAGCTTGCAGAACTGGGGGAACCCATATAGATGACAACCGGAAGGAGCGTGTTTGGAGGGGTGGTCTCGCTCGTGAAATTCCAATACTTAATCTCCAATGTAATGCAAAATGTTTTAGAAGCAGTTGTACACAAATTCTAAACAGAAAACCAAAGAATCTGTCTGCAATCTGTATTTTTTTAATTTGGTTATATCACAAAATGCACAATCTGTATTCTTCCTCTGCTGTGTTACATCTATAAAAATATCTAAGTAACATTTTATGTGAAGAAATAAGTCACTTCGAAAATCAATATATAGATTTTTTATTTAATGAATTGCCCTTGTAAAGTTGTAAAGTTGACTTTCTTGACACTTAAAATCAAGACATTTAAAAATAAAAAAGAACATGTAAATATGTAACAGTACATATTCTTCGTACTGTTTTGTCACATCATTTTCTATATATGTGTGTTAATTTTAGCCATGCCAGTGCCGGATCAGCCTGCAGAGCAGGAGAAGGGGGCCATGGTTCCCCCTGTGATGCCATCCTCCAATGGAGACAGATCTGAGACAGAGACAACCTCCTCTATCCTTGCCTCTGTCAAAGAGCAGGTAGGAAGTCCTCCATATACCATAAATGTATGTGCTGAACTATGATAAGCCTTTTTTATGTAAAACTTTTGGCTAAAAAGGCCAAATTGTAACTTTGTTGTCGATAAACAGCTCTAATATAAGGCAGATCATAAAGTTGTTGCTGTTATATAGCAGCACCCCACTGTCATAAAGTGTTTAAACGAAAGCAACAATTGACTGGTTGAGTTTAATGGATGGAAGTAATGGAGATTATGGAGCAAGAGCTGGAAAATATCATTAAAATCATGGCCGTTACTTGACGAAGGAGGGCTGGAGTGGTAACTGCATTGCTGCAGGAGGGCAGGCAATGATGCTGCATGGTTTTGTTTAAAAAAACAAACAAACATGAAAATCATATATAAG